AGACATCAATAATGGCAATAACATAGTTACTGGGCACATAGCCTAACTCCAAATACTGGCATATTTATATATATATATTCTCTCACTAAATGATCATATTAAAGTCTCATGAAAGACATTATCAACACAGTAAATTCATCAATTACTCCGGGTGCCTGCACACACCAATAATAATCATAAATATCGTGGGTACTCTATGTAGTACCACTCTGCACACTGGTGCCTTACTGTGACATAGGTGAGCCTTGCTCACGACATACAAAATACTCTGGCTAAATAATATAGCTGACTAAAGGGGAATTGGGAGGGAAACTAGAATCACCTACTTCCACCTATCCTCCGGTGAGAGTTGAGTTGTAGCTCCTGGTCCTGGCTCCTGCCTCGTGTAGGGAACGCCCCCACACACACACTGTCGTGTCCTCCAGGAACTCAATCAACGTCCCACCATAAGCGCGTCGTCTTCGTGCCTTTTCACTGCAGGTCCGTGCTCCTCCTCGACTTCTCGTAGGGTTGGAGTCGGTCTCCCGGCCGTCAACTTCTCCTCCCAGCTACGGCTGCCCGCCTACGTCTCGGCTGCAGTCGTTCGGATTCCCGAATAGTTTTCTTCTTCCACTGCTTCCCGGTGGCTCGGTCCAGCCACTACGCCGTCACAAACGGGTGAACTGCCTCAGACGTCGCATATGTCACTGCACAGACTTCACTTCTTCTTGCACAGAACCTGTCCTGGAGCACTTGTTGCTCAATATCCCGTCGATTCCCTCTCTGGTCCAACACATGAACGAAGGAAGACCTCACAGAGTACTGGCAGACTTAAGGGTGACGCGTAAAATCCACGGGAGCGGGAAACAACTGTCAAACTGACAGGACCAATCTTCGCACGTCCAACCACCTTGACGTGCCATGTCAGACTGATTCCCTCCGGAAGATTGGCCCATCCACTACGTCATCACTGTGGAGCTATCAGCCGTCGCATACGTCGCTGCCTAGACTCCACTCTTGCACAACACCTGTTCCTGGAGCACTTGTTGTTCAATATTCTGTCAATTCCTTCTCTGGTCCAACACATGAACGAAGGAAGACCCCACAGGTGATGGCAGACCACGGGTGATGCGTAAGTCCTCTGGAGACGGGGTAAACTGTCCAACTGACAGGACCCCCCAGCGCACATCCGACCTCCTTGACGTGCTGTCTTAGACTGATGGCGCCAGCGCGGCGCGATGACCGGACCCCCCTTCCTTTGTGACGTCATATTCGCCACGGGAGGTTTTCATTGGCTCCCTGTGCCACGTCACGCCGCTGTCGGTGACCAATCTGGTGTCACTGACGTCACACAGTTTTGGCAGCAAAACAGAAGAGCCAGCGCCATATTGGCTTCCTAAAGGGCCTAAACCACAACCCAAAATACTCTTCTTTTATAAATTTCTCGGCACTTCGAGAACACTACATTCTCCCACATACACCAAACTGCTGCCTGCGACGTAGAGAACGCTCGGGTAAAGTGGACATGACTCTTACTGCACGCGTGGGAGGAATATAAGGGGGGGAACACCGTCACACAGTATATACTTAAATGCTCTAATCTTTCTAACAAACATGACCTAACATAAGCTTACCCTTTCATTTATCTTTCTTTCTCTTTCCTTTTCTTCCTCTCTTCTCTGTTCATTGTTTTCTTTATGTTCCCAAACTATCCTTTTCTTATTCCTATCTCCTTCTCATTCGGTGGTTATAATAGGAGATGCCTCGTATGGGACAATAGGCTCTCTGCAGTTCTTATTCCTACTACTATCCCCTCTACTTCACTTTGCTCCTCACCTCTCTCTCTAGCCTATTTATTGCCTGCATCTACTTCATCACAATCGACTTGAGAATGATCCAGGACGGACCAAAACGTCGTCGTCCCTTCACCTTCTAGTGTGTGGTCTGGTCAACATACTTTAGCCACGTTATTATGACTTGTAGCCTGCATATGAAAGACATAACACGAAAATTTATGTTATCAAACTGAACGAGCATATACATTAGTCTGTAGGTGTGCCAATTGGTGCTTGTTCATGGGTAACTTAGCCAACTTTAAGCTTTGCTAGGGAGGAGTCACGCCGGGCTTTTGGACCTTATATGCATATACCCCTGTAGGGAATTCTATTGCGAACACAATGATACAAAAACGAACGACATAGCACAAGAATTAAGGTGAGGAAACTGAAACGAGTATACACTTTTTGGTGTCGCCACACGCTCACCTGCACCGAACGGTGCATGACGTCATTTCTGCGGCGTGCACGAATGGCACACGATAGTGTTAAGAACTGAAGAGTGGGTAGCCGGTGTGAAGGTCTTGGGCTCCCCTTTTTCCCTTCTCGGGAGGGGGGGAGGGTGTTTCGCAGACACCGGCGCGGCAATGTGGTGATGTCATGTCATGTATGTTTGTTTTCTTTTGGGGAGTTCTCTTCACTAGTTTTGCTCTTTGTAGCAATGTTTTCACCAGAATTGGGGTTTATTTTGGGACGCTTACCTTTCTAAATGCTTGACCCTGTTAATGGCAGACATAGTATATTTCCAACCACATTGGAAGTTTCTGGCTCATGGTCTCTGGTAGGCCTAGAACTCCATGCACATTGACTGATGCCAGAAATCTAATACAGTGGTACCTCCCATAACGAATTTAATCCGTTCCATGTTCGTCATGTGAAACGGACGTCATACAAAACGAGTGTCCCCCATGTAACCAGTGTGATGCACTGTGTTTATTGTGAAATTTCCCTAGTGTGCATGACATCAAATGTTCCCCAAAATATAATTTTTCTTTGTAAAATGATAAATTACCGTCCCTGAACATGTCTATGTAAAAATAATTACCAAATTCCACTTACTTTGGCTGTGAGGGCGTGGACAAGGTGCGCTGTGACGTCATCAGGGGCTGGTCGCCCGTGTGTGAAGCTCCCAGACACGGTCGCGCAGGCCATTCAAGCACCGCGTGTTGCCACAAATATATTTTCAAATATTTTTCCTATGCATTTCCAATGCGGTTTTATTTGTTTCTTTTATCGTATATGATGCATATTTGTGACCTTTACAATATGTATACAGTAGAATGTTCATAATTTTCCATGAAACTGTGATACATGTGTCAGTAATGTGTCCACAATAAATGTTTATTGTCACAATATTACGTGGTAAAAATGCACTAATATTACAATATGTACAGTTTCACATACTATTTACACAGTAACACACTGTATTACACACTCAGTACTTTGGAGGTGCATAATAGTCAACGAAGTAGTCCATGGTACACAGCGCGACTTTGCTCTCCTTGCACCAGCTACAGATAGATTTTTGTTTCCTGTTTCATCGTTCTGTGTGCTTGCAAATAATGCACTCGCGTGCACCCTTGGCTTTAGTACTTGTAGGTGGTATGTAGCCAAGTTTGTAAAGCATAAGGTAGTATTGAAACGATTATAGGAAAAGCTCAATTTGTAAGGTAGTCTTGAAAAGATCGCTTTGTAAGGTCCCACACAGGAAGAGATTCAGCTAGCCTCAAAGAGTGTCCATCAGTCAGGAAGAGATTCAGCTAGCCTCAAAGAGTGTCCATCAGTCAGGAAAAGATTCAGGTATTCTTAAAAATATCAATGAACACCACCACCATGGAAGCCGCTAACACTGTTCATCTATGCTACTTGTATCAGATGCATCATCACTGAACGCAGAAAACGATTCATCTATGTATCATCTATATACATTAGAGATGGCAAGGGTGGGGCTCAGAGCTACACCTGGATACGCTCGCTGTATCATCCTCATAGGTGCTGTATCACAGGCATCCGACCGTTGTGTTAAGCCCTTATTGCGCCTAGCTTCACCAATGTTATGACCCTTATGTTCTTCAAACAATAGGGTCTGAATTGCACTGACTGAGTACAGTCTTTCAACACCGTGTGGGACAGGTGTTTGAGAGCCAGAGGCATGTGTGCTACAAATGGTTGCTCACGCACTACTAACCCAGCCAGCAGCCCTTGTCTTTCATATTCGTTATAGCAAAAGGTTCGTTCAGGTTTGTTGGGTAGGCTGCTCCATTATGACAATCTTTCTTTGTTTCAAATGTGTTCCATTTGTTTTGTATTTATCACTTACGTCTCAATAATGGAGCAGCCTACCCGACAAACACTGAACGAACCTTTATGACATTTGTCCATTTTTCAAATTGTTTCAACAGTTCTTTTATTTTTCGTTTTTTTTTTTTTTTTAAGAAACATGGAGCAGTCGACCTGTAGACCACCGAACGAACATTTTTGACATTTGTACTGGTTTTCAAAATTCTTCATATTTTTTATTATTTACGTTTTTTGTATGTAAGAAACATGGAGCAGCCTACCTGCCGACCACCGAACGAACCTTTTGCTATAAGACAAATGAAAAATAAATATTGAACACATTTGAAGAAAGGAAAATGTCATAATGGTTTATTCAGTGTATGTAAGGTAGGCTTCTCCATTATTGAGACGTAAATGACAAATAAAAAACAAATGGAACACATTTGAAACAAAGAAAGATTGTTATAATGGAGCAGCCTACCTGCCAAACACCGAACGAACTTTTTTGACATTTGTTGTATATCAGACATTTCATTTCTTTTTTCCTACAAAAACGTCAATGCTTTGCAACATCTCAGCAGTCACCCTTTTATATCCCAGCATCATTAGCATCTTTAAACAAGAACAACATAATTTATGTGCATCGTCGGAGGCGTCTAAGAATGTGCAAGCAGCAGCGCGACCCCACCGTGTGGTGTTGACGTTACTCAAACCAGCGTTCGTCATACGGGACGATTTGACGCCGATCGGGCCGTTCGTTACCCAAAATATTCGTCTTTTGGGGCAATCGTTATGCGAGGTACCACTGTACATCCATAACAGCCTGGATAGCTCTGGGGAGCTTCTGGGTCTCACTAAAAAAAAATGGCATTTCATTACATTCAACCCTTTTTTTTTTTTTTGCAGGGCCTGTTAGAAGTCTATAAATTGAAACCCAACACTACTTATGAGTTTCAGCTGTGGACCTCAAATAGCTATGGAGAGAGTGAAATTGTCAAGGTTGTCACCACAACTCATCCTTTTGTATCAGATATTGGTAATATTCCATAATTTTGTTTAGAATTATATATTGTTAAGTATCCATGGTAAAGGGAATGCAATTGTTTTTGTCTGTTTTCATTTGCATTTGTTTGTCTTGCAAATCTTGGGAATGCTTCTGTGTGTCAGATTCATATTTACAGCAATTATGCATGACAATAAAAGTAAGATTCCCATTTTAAATTGGGTAATTTATAGAACCAGTTTAAAGCTTTTTCTGTGGAGAGCTCCATTGGCTCCCTGAAGCTATCTGAACTGATATAGTGCTATATTAGTTGGGGGCATTAGTCTGAGATCTTGTGCCTACCGGGGACCACGAGCCAGAACCTGGGACCCCTCAGAGAAGCACAGGGAGCAATGGCCTATGAACACTTCGGGACCAAAGAGACAAAGCTCAACCCCCGCAAGCACAATTAGGTGAGTACTTTACATTTAAAGTACGTCATACTTGCCATTGACCAGGGAAGGCACCCAGAAAGATAGCGAAACAAAACAAGACCAATGTCTGGTTATAAATACGACCTGCATCCTCAAAAGAGCAAAAGAACTTCCCCAGAAAGAAAACAAATAAGCAACACTTCTTTCAACTAGGCCCCCGCTTGTTAGCACCACCTCGCCGCAGGGGAGGGGGAACCAGCTCGGGTGGGCCTGGTTACCCACCGTCTAGTTCTTGAACTGATGTCCTGGCTGTCAGATGTCACCTCTGGCCTCAGTTTCCTGTTCTGAATTTTTGCCTTGTGTGGCTGTACCTGCACTTGTGGTGTGCATCGTCCAGGTGTAATAGTGCATAGGAGCTGCACGCACCTAGGGATACCTTTCCTAGGTGCTCCGTAAGTACTTCCCAGTTCAGGGTTATCTTCCCTGTGGCGTTCGGAACTCGGTCCCCGTTGAGAACTTATCACCTGTAGTTGTCCTCGCCCTTTGGGTGCGTTGGGGGTCTTGGGGCTTGCTTGCTCCGAGTAGGGGTGTGATTTTCAGCTGTTGGGGTGCGCTGGGGCTAGCTCACCCTGCTGTATGCTATCACACGGCACGCCGATGTTTCTCACCGGCGGCTAGTTGTGTTTTTCTGTTTTTTATTGTTACTGGCACTTTTGCCTGTTGTTACGAAGGAGGTCTGCTTAGTTCCTCATTAGGCTCAGCCTAGGGTGTGGTGGTAGTCCTCCTCTGTTGCCCCTGAGATTTTACAGCTGCTACTTCCAGTCTGTTTGCCTTCTTAGCCAGGGTTTATCGGTTAGCTGGCCCAGTGCCTGGGCTTCCTATAGGGCTCATTCACCTTACAGGCCCTGGAGAAACCCTGTGGGGCTTGGTCATTCTATAGATACATCTTCAGAGCCCACTCTTGCATTGTAGGAATTCAAGGGTTGCTCGTTGCCCCCTGCCTCAGGGTGACGATCAACCTTGCTGCCTCCGCCATGTTACCTGTTGGGTCGGGGACACCTATGACCTAGCATCTTGCAGGACTTACTCCTTCCTTGTGCACCAATTTATTCATCCTCTTCCTAATGTTCTAGGGGGCTAGGCAGCGGCCGCATTGCATGAGCATTTTTCTGTGATGCAACAGGCTAGGTTGGTTGCCAAGTCCCTCAAGCCCAAGCTGGGCAGCTCAAAGGCAGTTGAATGCCCTTGAGCTGCCCAGCTTGGGCTTCAGGGACTTGGATTTGAGGGCGTTGGTCACTTTGACCTTGGTTCAGTCTGCGCTTCCTCTTCCTTCTTAGATGAGCATGGTTCGCCCCTTCTCTTCTTCCCTGCTTCTGGCTCCCAAACATTTGAGGGTTTTAGAGACAGGGCAGGGTTTAGCTCGAGATGAGGCTCGGGTGGTTTCGTGAGCTGCCCCTTCTGATTTGGGTGTGGAGGTGGTTGAGCCTCTTCTTCCCGCCGAGACTTCCGAGTCTATCCAGCCTTTCCTTCTGAGGCAGTGGGCGTGGATGAGAGCGTTTGATCCTGCTTGGGCCTGTGTAATTACCTAAGTGTAGTTACAGGATGAGAGCTATGCTCGTGGTGTCCCGTCTTCCCAGTACTCTGTCATATAACGCTTTGAAACTACTGACGGTCTTGGCCTCCCACCTTCTCACCTAACTTGTTCCAACCGTTTACCACTCTGTTTGCAAAAGTGAATTTTCTTATATTTCTTCAGCATCTGTGTTTAGCTAGTTTAAATCTATGACCTCTTGTTCTTAAAGTTCCAGGTCTCAGGAAATCTTCCCTATCGATTTTATCAATTCCTGTTACTATTTTGTATGTGCACTCTTGCTGGGACTTCTGTTGCAGGTGAGGGGGTTTTCATAGCCCTCCTTCCCTTTATGAGTTTGAGTTGAGCTGTGAAGGTTCAGGAGGCTCTTGGTGCTTACCTCCTGCGGACCTCGGTGATGGATTTGGCTTCATTTAAGTTCGGTTCTTCCTCCCTGTTTTGGGTACATTATAAAGTTTTAGTCTTCTTGGCTGGAAGACTGTCCTTTCTTTTCCCTTGGAGCCTGGCACAGCTTTTGTCATACCCCGCACACTTGAGTGGCAGAAGGTTTCTACTGTGTTGCAGGTATTGTTGGGTGGCTCTCTAGAGTTTCTCAGTGAGTGCCTCTACGGTCCTGCGCTTCCTCGTGATGTTGGTCTGGTGCAGCCTTATGCTTAGGTTTCCACTCTTTCGGCTGCTTTGGTGGCTGATGACCTTCAGACTCATGGTCATTTGACTTCTGTCTTGCGATTCTGTAGTCTTCTGGAGCTGTCTTCGGATTGGCTTTTGGAAGATGCTGGGGTGCAGGGTAGGGGCCCTTGGCTGGGGTCTTTGTCTCGGCTGCTTCGGCATTGTCTGCCTTACCGAAGCTGTTTGCACCAAACCTCTGGGAGGCAGTTTCCATGTTTTTCACCTCCCTTCTTGCGTGTCGGCATGCCGTGCTGGCTCTTTCATTGGATTCAGCTTTGGACCTGGCTCTTCAGTTGACTTCACTGTTTTGTCCTCTTTTAGTTTCTAGAGAAGTGTGTTGCTCAGTTTTAGTCAGTGGCTTCTGCCAGTTGTCGTCCCATTTCTGATTTGTTGGTTCTCGGAGCGGCAGAAGGGGGGGGGGGAGAGATCTGGAAAAGTTGGGCCAGGGCTCGGTTCAGTCGGGGTAGGCTTGTGGTGCCAGTTTCTGAGTCACTGGTGACTTTGTTGCCTCTTCCTCTGGTTGGCATGGTGTTCGCTCTGCAAGGAAGTCGGGCTCTCGGGGTTCACGTCGGCCCTTTTGCAGGTTGCCCTGCTGACGGGGCGATGGGGGTCTCTCTCTTCCTACGCTTGGTCCCACGATTCATAGGCTTTTTGGGTCGTTTCTGGAAGCCTTCCATGGCAATGGGCAGACCTTCCTCCCTTTAGGGAGGTCGGGTCTGTGGAGAGTGGGGGGGGGGGGCAAGCAGGCCTCTTCACTCTTCCATCCATCAGGTCGTCTCGGAGTGACTTTGCTTGGGCGTGGTCGAAATGACTTAGTCTCTCAGGTAGGTTTTCTGCCTGTTCCTAGTTCTACAATGAAACTGTGTGGATCTCTGGTACATTCTGGACTTGTCTCATCTGAACCAATTGATTCCTTGCCCCCACCCCCTTCCTTTCAGATGAATATGTTGTCTCAGGTCTGGCTCCTCCTCGAGCCGGGTGAGTGGATGCTTTCCTTGGACCTCAAGGACACTCTTGGACTTACCCCCAGCCTTTGTGGCCTGTTGGTTAATCTGTTCGTTTATTTGCAGCCGTCTCCTTCTTTTCTGGCAAAGAATGAGACGGCGGGCCTTTGATGGGCCCTTGGGTCATTGATGCTTGGTTGGTCAGGCTCAGGATGCATGATGTGTTGTGTCTGGTTGTGGCTCTTCGCTGTTATCAGCACACCTCGGCTTCTGTGGCTGGGGACACTTGGGCTGATCCGGTTTCCCTCGTTTCCTGTTCGAGGGCTCGGGTCTTCCATGTCGTCCGCATGGTTATTAAGTCCTACCAGCCTGAGGTCTACCCTTGTGCCCATGACGTTCATAAGTTTGCTGCTTTAGCTACCGTGTTTGACAACGTCTTGTGCTGTCATTCGGACATGGGGGAGGGGGTTTGGAGGTTGAACAGGGTCCTGGCCGTCTGTTATCTGGTCAGTATTCCAGGTCCCAGTCAATTGTGTGTGGCTTTGGGTCGCAGGTTGCAGCCAGTTGTCTCGACTTCAAGTTAATGTGCGAGTAGCGTCTGCCTCCTGGGTAAGTCCCTCTTTTACTTGTGTTTGGTTAGGTAGCTCCAGGAAGCAGAAGGGGCTCCTCACAGAAAACCAGCATTGAAATGAAATGCCATTTTCTGGGTGAGTCCCAGAGGCTCCCTGGTACCTTCCATCCCTCCAGTCGGCGGTTTTGTTTTTTGGTGCTCAGCTTCCGAACACGAGGTGTGACTAACCAGTGTGGGGGGGGCCCGGGGTTCCCCCTCCCCCTCCTAGGGAGGGGAAGGCTGCACGTACAAGTGACGCAACAGAGGTGAATGATGTTTGCTTGTTTCCTGACATTTTTTAGGGGAGTTCTGTCTGTTCGGTCTTCAGTTGCAATTCCTTACTAGGTGGGGTTTTTGTTATGTCTACCTTTCTGGGTGCCTAACCCCGGTTAATGGCAGACATGGAATTCTCCCAAACACATGGGGGTTTAATAGGCCATTGCTCCCTATGCCTCTCAGGGAGGGCCAGTTCTGGCTCGTGGTCCCCGGTAGGCAGAACTCCAATTGACTGATGCCACAGACTAATATTGTGTACATCAGTCCGATAGCTTCAGGAAGCCTCTTGGACTCGCCCAGAAAATGGCGTTTCATTACATTCAACGCTGTTTTTTTTATTTGCTAGAATATCTTCAGTTCTCAATATTTTACAGAACTGGCTAAAATGTTAGAAGAAACATTGGAAGAGTTCAGCCCTAGTGTGTGGATTGTTGCTGTGGTAGTGGTATTGGTTGTTGCTACTGTCCTGGCAAGTTTTCTTCTAGTCATTTATTATTTTAAGAAATCAGGTATGTTGAAAGGTATTCCTTAGGTAATTTCTGTCATTTTAAAGAACATCACTTGAAAAGTTATAGACTTTATTTGCTCTCACTAGTAAGTTGAAAATATAATAAAAAACAAGTGCCTTATACTGCTTAATAATATGGATAATGACTAGGACATGAATATTCTGAAGTTTATTTCACAAAAACCAATGTTCTATTCACATTGGTTTCTGGGGGGGGGGAAGCCCCTTCGGCTCCCCGGAGCTATCCAGGCTGATATGGATATATTAGATTTTGGCATAAGTCAATGTGAATGAAGTTCTAGGCCTATCGGGGACCATGAGCCGCAACCTGGCCCCTTCAAAGAGGCACGAGGAGCAATGGCCTATAGAAATGCACATGTGGTTATGAAGCATTCTATATCTGCCATTGACCAGGTCAGGCACCCAGAAAGGTAAGCATCCCAAAACAAACCCCTATTCTGGGTGAAACTACTACTGAAAGTCAAACAAGTGGACAGAACTCCCTAAATGAAAATGAGCAAACGAGCATGATGTCACCGCTTCGCTTGTCTGCACAACCGCCCCCCTCCCCTCCTCGGGAGGGAGGAGGGAGAGCCCCAGACCCTCGTACTGGCAATCCACCCTGCAGTTCTTCGGCTGATGTGAGTGGCAGAGGTCGTGTGACTCTGGCTCTTGATTTCTGTCCTCTGCTCTGTGCTGTGTAGTGTAGTGCACAACTACTCTGGTGGTGCACGAGCCAGGAGTAATCTCACAAGTACTCGGGCTGCATGCGCCTAGAGTCACCTTCCCTAGGTGCCCTGTAAGTACTGCCCTTGGGGCTTGGGGCCACCTTCGACAAGTCATATTGGGATCTACCTTGCTTATTTGCTGCTCGGTGATCAACCGCCCTTAGTGTGCTGTTTTTTTTACACCCCTTATTTGCTTTTGGGAAGGGTTAGTTTGCACTGGTAGGGGCACAGGGTACTGCATAGCTAGTTGTCATCTCTCATAGTGGCCGGCTTTGTTCCGCCTAGGCACGTTGTCCTTGTGCGAGGGTTTTTCTTTTGTTTTTGTTTTCCCTGTCTGGTGGGTCAGTCTGCCTTTGGTTGCCCCCTATTTATATTGAGGGTTATATACATATCTGTGTTTCTTGGTGATATCCCCTGCTAGGCCCCTGTGAGTGAACACATCCCAGGGGTTCAGCTTTTAGAAGTTTGGTTGGTAGACTTAGGTGCCGGTGTGCAGTACCCTGCTTGGGCTTTCCTTAGTGATAGCAGTCTAAGGGCCCTGGGAAACCCTGCGTGGGCACAAGGGGTCTGATGGATGCGACCCTGGGTCCCCTCTCACCTTGTGCGAGCTTCGGAGTTGCTCTGTTCCCTTGTCTCAGGGTGACTTTCATTGATTTTGCCTCCATCATGCTGCCTGTTGGGTCGGTGACACCTTCTACCCAGAGTCCTGCAAGTTTTGTTTCTTGTTAGTGACTCGGTTCACCCTGTCCACTGATGACTATATGGGTGCAGGCAGCTCAGGCGTTGCATGCGAGGTAAATTAGGGTGCTGCAACGCACTAGGTTGATTGCTGACCCGGAAGCCCCGAGGTTGCCCCGTTTTGGTTATAGGGACCCGGACTTGGGGGTGTTGGTTGCTTTGACCTTGGTTCAGTCCGCACCCCCTAGTTCTTACCCTGCTGTGGTGCATTCTGGTCCTCCCTCTCCCCCTTCCCTACCTCCAGCTCCGAGGCATCTGAGGGCTTCAGGGTCGGGGCAGGGTTTAGCTGGTTTTGAGACTCGCGCAGTCTCGGGGGATGCCCCTTCCAGGGTGGTAACGGAGGCATTCGAGTCAGTTCCTCCTGCCATGAAAACCTCCAGCCACTGGTCTGACCAGTGGGCTCCCTTCGTTCGTTCCTGCCTTTCCAGCTGCCCCGGCTTTTTGCTTTGAGGCCAGAGCTTTGAAGGACGACTCGGCCCCAAATCCTGTGTGGAGGTTCCCAGGGTCGGGGAGGGGCTGACTCGGGGGCCTTGGGGGCCCATTGGACCTCGCCTGGGTTTTTCTACCTTCTGAGCAGGACATACTATTGCAAGGAGTGGGGCTTTCATCATCATCCCCCCCCCCCTCCCCCCTCCAGGTACGAGTTGGATTTGGTGTCGGCCCCTCCCCAGGTTTGGTGTCGTGTCCCTTCAGGTCCGTCGGTATTGTCGTTCCAGAGGTTTTCGTTTTTTGCATCCTTCTTCATGATGTGTGAGCGGCCATTGCAGCTTAAATCCTGCACAACCTGGATTATGCCTCTATTTTGAATCTGTCTTCATTCAGGTCTGGGTCTTTATGTCTCTACTAGGTTCGTTATGAGGTTCCGGAGTCGTCCTGGCTAGCAGACTATCCTGTGTTGTCTTTGGATGCTTGGCATCTGTTCTGTCGTACCCGCACGCTTGAGTGGCGCCAGGCGCTGGCGGTGATCCAAGATTACCTGGAGGACGGGTTGAGCACCTCAGTGCGTGCTTGTTCGCCCCCTGTCCTTCCTCCGGATATTGGCGTTGTGTGCAGCTTCATGTGCAGGTTCCCTTCCTTTCGGCCTGCACTGGTTGCTGAGGACTTGCGCGCTCGTGGCCTGTTGGCTTCGGTCTTGTGGTTCTTTTCCCTCCTGGAGCTTTCCTCGGATTGGAGTTTTAGGCCTAGAACGCCAGTCACATTGACTGATGCCAAACTCTAATATATCCATATCAGCCTGGATAGCTCTGGGGAGCCTCTGGGTCTTGCCCAGAAAATGGCGTTGCATTACATTCAACTCTGTTTTTTTTTTTTTAGAAGGTGCCTGGCTTTCAGATTGTCATTAAGACATTAGTATTTGTTTAGTAAGCTAACTGCATGTTATAGAGAGAAACGGAAATTTCAATTATTCATTTAAGTTTATATATATTTTAGATTTGGGAGACAATGGAGGTGTTAAGTGGTGCTGAAGGGGCAGGTTTCATAACTTATAGAAAGGCAGAGAGTAGAAGTAGCTGCTGTTATTGGGTGTTGCCAGGTTTACTTTTGTTTTGTAATTATATTTTTCCTGTTACTGTTTCTCTGTGATATCTTGAAAGCCCCTCATTGTATTGACATGAACCACACAAAACATACTTGACTAGAAATTGATATTGAGCAAAAACCCTTTGGCATGCTTTTATGTAATAATTAATAATAATCCATTGTCCAAATGGATATCCTGCTCGAAACGCTTTGCGTAATAGTGACTTTAGGCATTGTATGTACTAGCTCTATCTATAAATCCATCAAATTTGTATCTTACCTTGTATGTATGTACCTAAACTGAATAAAAAATTTAACTTAATTTAATTGTTTTACTGGACAGGCAGTCAGTATATACATTCAGTAAATGTTATATACATACGTATATGTAAGGCTTATATTGAGGTCCTCATTCCAGGGTTGAATTACTGACCCCTTCCCAGGATGCAACCCTACAACAAGCCGACTAACTCCTTGGTACCTGTTTACTGCTAGGTGGACAGAGATATTAGGTGATAGGAAAATATTCCCAACCATTTCTGTCCCACCCGGGATTCGAACCCGGAATTCTTGAATGTGTGTCAAGAACGAATCCGACTGTACTACCGGGAACCTCATATATGTATATACATCATATATATATTGTACTGTGCATTCTATCACAGATTACAATTAATAATTCGCTCATATGACAAGTTTGACCACACAAGTGGACCGCACAAGTGGTCCACAAGCTTACGATGTTGGGACAGAGTTCACAGAGTGGTGGAAAACTGTCTCATTCTATCTACAATTAATAATTCCTTCATCAGACAAGTTGGATCACACAAGTGGTACACACAACAAGTAAAGCATATTAACCAAACACCAGCCAGAGTGGTCCACACAAGTGAACGACTGAGTTTCAATGATTTGCGATCATTGATTTGTGGCACACATATCTTTGTAAATTAATTTAAAGGCTGAAGCGTGAATAGCTAGCTAATGTATTGAAATCTTCTTATATACATTTTCTGTGATGAAACAAGATGAGTGAGGGTGGACAGATAAGGGAATACTGTACTGTAAACCTCACTTTACAGTGATGTTTCACTCACTTTCGTTTGTGTTGTCATAGAACGTTTCAGATTAATAAATCATTTCTAAAATTGGTGTTTTAATAATTTTATTATCTTAATTAAACTAAACTAAATAAAACTAAAAATATACTGTAATACAATAGATATCTGCTATTTGAGAAATTATTCATGTTATTGTCAGCTCACATTCTTGAATGTGAGTGGACAGAACGGAGTGGACGGGTCTAATCTGTGTACACACAACACCACCCTTGTTTTGTTCGATTTCGTCGCCATAGTTCAGTGACCTACAGCTTCGAAATAATGAAATTAATAAATCAGTTCTAAAATAAGTATTTTTATAGCTCTTATTATCATAATAATGTTGCTAAACTAAATATATAACTCAAAAATATATAATTGATGTAAATCAATTAGAGAATATATGAGAGAAATTTATGATACTGGAAATCGAACATAACACTACGCTTGTTTTGTTCGATTTCGTCGCCACAGTTCAGTGACCTACGGCTTCGAAATAATAAAATTAATAAATCAGTTCTAAAATAAGTGTTTGTTATAGCTCTTATTGTTGCTAAACTAAATATATAACACAAAATTATATAATTTGATGTAAATCAAATATTTGAGAGAACTTTGTTACTGGATCTGACTTAAACACCAGCCTACTGTAGAGTGTACGTATAGACCTAGTCTGCGTTCGTACAGTATGCACCCAGTACCCTCAGCTTTGTTTGCGATTGACGTACAGTATTTAACCACTGGTGGAAGAATAATTGTGGAATTTACCATTTTTTGACTACAGCTGTATTGTTATACAACAAAATGTCTCAGGGACTTACTAATAGTGCCTTATTAATGCCAAAAATGAAGCAATATTTTGCAAGAACTTGTAGCAGAAAATCAACCAGCACGAGCACAGCTGTACCCAGCAC